TCTGGGTAATAACTGAATAATAACTGAGTAATAACTGAGTAATAATTTAGTAATAACTGTGTAATAACTGAGTAATAACTGAGTAATAACTGAATAATAACTGAGTAATAACTGAGTAATAATTTAGTAATAACTTGGTAATAACTGAGTAATAACTGAGTAATAACTGTGTAATAACTGAGTAATAACTGAGTAATAACTGAATAATAACTGAGTAATAACTGAGTAATAATTTAGTAATAACTGAGTAATAACTGAGTAATAACTGAGTAATAACTGAATAATAACTGAGTAATAACTGAGTAATAATTTAGTAATAATTGGTAATAACTGAGTAATAACTGAGTAATAACTGACTAATAATTTAATAATAACTGGGTAATAACTGAATAATAACTGAGTAATAACTGAGTAATAACTGAGTGATACCTGAATAATAACTGAGTAATAATTTAGTAATAACTTGGTAATGACTGAGTAATAACTGAGTAATAACTGACTAATAATTTAGTAATAACTTGGTAATAACTGAGTAATAACTGAGTAATAATTTAGCAATAACTTGGTAATAACTGAGTAATAACTGAGTAATAACTGGACTGTTTTTTAAACAGTCAGAAAGTTGTACATGTATACTGTCAATGTTTAAAGTTGGTCCAACTAAAAATGGCAGCCACTTGTAATTACCCTTCACAAACACAACATTTGGTGTAACTCAGTCAATTTGACCGATTGCTCACAACACACACACTGAGCTACAACTCCCATTTAAAAGGGTGATCTTATGACTTGTATGTAAAGTGTCAGGTGATAGGCAATCCTTAAAATAGTTTTGTCAACGATTTGCCACACCTGTGTTATTCAGCATCTGTTGTCTCTGTAGTTGTGTTTCACACTCTGCTCGGGCTCGCTGCATCTCCCAGTAGAGGCGGCAGTGGGAAAACCTCCCATGAACCTGTCAGAGAGACGGAAAATAAATATTATAGACCTGAACTTTTTTTAAGTTTCTGCAATCTGCTCGCAGGCTGACGAATGTCTGGCAAACTGCAGCTCACAACTTCCCCATGAGCTCATTCTACTCTTTATTTCTCTAGTTTGGACAGCGGCTGGATTAATGTCTTCTGCATAGATTCTCACTCGGTCGAATGGAGTCATTCTGAGCATTTAAAGATAAAAACTGGACTGAAATCAAGTCCAGATGTTTTTCCTCATCAAGCACCAAAGATTTAAAACTTTTAGCAAAAACTTTAAAATAGAATATACAGTATAATGACAGTGTCCTTAATTCTTTTAAAGCTTTAGGACTAGTTCAATGCTGAAGAAAAAACTTTTGTTTTAAGGACTTTTTATTTGTGGATATCAGAGATGCCTGGAGGCAGGAGTCTCAACTCAAAGCTGTTTTAGTGATTTTTCTCACAGGTTTAACTGAGAAAAAGAATTTAAGAGGAGCTTCGCTCACTTTTGAGAACAAATTCTAAGAAAAGGATTTAATAAAATGCAGCAGAATAAATACAGAACATTTCAGTTTGCAACAGTTCACTTAGTGTCCCTTCACACTGGTCCTGTCATGGTCAGGTTGTAGGCAACAGAGCCTAGGTTTCACCATCTGCAATTATTAGTTAGAGCATAAACATATAATTTGAACATCTCTGAATATGGCATTTCAACCGGTATACTGTACGTTCCATTCCAAAATTCTTCAAATTATATTTCAACATTTAAC